AGGACGAGGACGGGCCGAACCTCGAGACGTGGAGCTTGGAGTCGCCCGTGCCCAGTGTCGTCTCCGTCGGGTCCTACCCCGAGGCCGACGCCTCCCCCCTCTTCGGCGCCGCGCCCGCGCCCGCGCCCGGCGCGGCACCGGCGCCGCGCGAGCCCGGGCCCGGGACGCGCGCGCCGAAGAAGGCCCGCGCGCGGAAGCCGGCCCCGCCGCCGGCGGCGCCGGCGCCCGTCGTCGTCGTCGTGGCGGAGCCGCCGCCGCGGCGCGAGCTCGTCATCGACGACGCGCTCGCGGCGGAGATCGCGCGCGCGACGGACGCGCGCGTCGCGCGGCGCCGCGCGGCGACGCCCGCGGCGCCCCTCGGCGAGGACGTGCGCGAGGCCTTCGCGTCCCAAGCCCGCGACGAGCTCGGCGAGGACGCGCTGGGCCAGGCGCGCGACGCGTTCTTCGGCGCGGACAAGGACCGGTCGTCGACGCTCGACGAAACGGAGGTCAAGGCCGTGCTCGGCCGCATGGGCGTCTCCGCAGTCGACGAGCTCACGGACTACTTCATGACCGACGCCGGCGGGTCCCAAACATCGCGCACCATGGACTTCGACGACTTCTGCATCATGCTCGCGCCGGAGACGGCCGCGGCCGCGCGCGAGAAGCGCGGCGCGCGGCGGCGCGCGCTGTCGCCGACGCGGCGCAAGTTCCCGCGCCAGATCGCGTCGCGCAAGGCGTCCCACCTCGACTACGAGTTCCTCGTCTCGGACACGCCCCCCAACTTCGCGGACACGACCCTGTCCTTCGCGTCGTCGCGGACGTCGCTGCCCGCGTTCGGCGAGGCCGACGTCGCGACGCCGCGCGTCGTCGTCGTCGGCGCCGGCGCGCCGAGCGACGGCCCGGCGCCGGCGCCCGAGGGGAAGAAGGTGCGCGACACCTTCCTCGGGCGCATGGGCCTCCGCGACAACCTGCCGCTGCCCCGGGCCGCGACGTACGCGGGCGACGAGTCGTCCGCAGGCACGCTCGAGGAGGACGACGCGTCCAACGCGGGCCCGAACCCGGCGCTCTTCAAGGACTGGCAGCAGGCGGACCTCGCGCCGGAGGTGCGCGCCGTCGACGACGAGTGCTTCGCGGAGGTCTCGGGCCTCCGGTCGCTGTCGACGTCGCTGTCGGACCTCGCGGGCGGCCTCGAGGAGCTCAAGGCGTCCATGTCGTCCTTCTGGGCCGACAAGCACGCGAAGCTCGACGAGGCGGAGCTGGGCCGCGCGTCCGCGGCCCTCGTCGTCCAGAAGCACTACCGGCGCCACGTCGTCCGCCGCCGCTTCGCGCAGTGGGTCGACCTCGAGGACGACGAGGACCTCACGTCCCAGCTCGAGGGCGTGCGCGTCGCCGTCGCCCAGTTCTGCCTCGCGAACCACGTCGACTTCGACCGCATCGAGACGAAATTCTCGACGATCCAGGACAACCTCGACGGCGCGAACCGCGACTCCGTCGACGCGGACCGGCTCCTCGGCTGGAACCCGGACGTGCCCCTGGCGAACCTCGCGGGGTCCCGCGCGACGGCCTGCCGCATCCGCGAGTGGCAGTCCCAGCACCGCCCGGCGACGCGCGAGGCCGAGACCGCGCCCGGCGCGGGCCTGTAGGCGCCCGCCCCTTCCCCCTTCCCCCTCGCCCTAAGGGTCCGAAAATGCGAGGCGGGTCCCGGGGGCTGCCCTGGTTCGCCTGCCGCTCGCGGGCCTGTTCTTCGGCGCCGCGTGTCGACGACCCGCCAGACGTCGACCTCGACCCGGACACAGAGATTAAGCCGTCGCGCGAGAGCTCAGGCCTTGTCGTCGTCCGGGAGCTTGTAGGGGAACTCCGTCGGAAAGGGCACGATCGGCGGCGGGATGTCCACGGTGGGCGACGGGGACGGGTCGCCGGCCTTCGTCGGGTCCGGCGTCGGCTTCGGCGGCTGCGTCGGGTGCGGATGCTTCATCGGCGTCGGCCGCGGCGTCGCCGGGGGCGGGCCCGGCGGGTCCTCCAAGTCGGCGTACGTCGGGTGGTCCGTCGGTCGCGGCAGGGGCATGCCCGTGGGCTTCGGCGTCGGCACGTAGGACGGCACGGAAGTGGTCGGCTCGGGCGACGGATAGGGCGTCACGCTCGGCGCGGCCGTCGACGGCACGGGTGAGGGCGCGGGCGTCGACGGGGCCGGGCTGGGCACGAGCGTGGGCAGGCCCGAGGGCTCCGGCGTCGGGCTCTCGGACGGAGAGGGCGTCGGCGCGGGCACGGGCGGGATCGTCGGCCGCGGCGACGGCGCCGCGCTGGGGTGGTACGTGGGCGCGGGCGCGGGCAGGCCGCTGGGGCTCGGCGACGGCAGGCCCGAGGGCGCCTCCGTGGGCATGGGCGTCGGGTGGATCACGGGGTGCGTGGTCGGGAGGCCCGACGGCTCGGGCGACGGGAGGCCGCTCGGCTCGACGGACGGCGCGCCCGTCGGCGCGATGGGCTTCGCCGTCGGCGTTTCCGACGGCTTCAGCGACGGCGGCATCGTCGGCGCGAGGGACGGCTTGGCCGTCGACGGCGCGCTCGTCGGTTTGTAGGTGGGCCCGAGCGACGGCGCCGGACTCGCGGACGGCGCGTCCGTAAAAATGTCGTGTTCCGGCGGCGGCGGGCCCGTCTCGCGCTCCGTGTGGTCGCTCGGCGCCGCCGAGGGCTCGGGCGCGAGCGTCGGGTCCAGCGACGGGCAGGAGCTCGGCGGCGGCACGGGGCTGGCCGACGGCGCGGGCCGCGGCGCGGGGCCGGCGCCCGCCTGCGTGAAGAAGCCCTGGGGCGTCGGCTCGAAGGTCGCCGCGCCCGTGTTCGGCGGGCCGTCGACGTCGCCGCCGCTCGGGTATTTATGGAGGTCCGCGACGGGCGCGGCGCCGCGGCTCCGCTTCGCGGCGCCGAGCAGCACGACGGCGCAGGCCGCGAGGGCCGTGGCGAGGACGCGCGCCGTCGGCCGTCGTTTTCGTCGCACGGGCGCCTCCCGCCTCTCGAGGAGGGTCTCCCGCTCCGCCATCGCGCCGACGCGCCCGGCCACGCAGGCGACGGCGGCGCTTCGGCAGGCGACGGGGCTGCTCAGTTCGCGGCGTCGTCGAATTCAGAGGGCACCTTTGGCCGCACGCTTAGATCCCCAACTTCAACCTCGCAGAGTATCCATCAAGAAGACATCGACGATGGGCTTCGTCGGTGCCCTCCTCGCCGCCGGCGCGGCCGCGGTCGACTTCCCGCGCTGCCCCGTCGCGACGCCGAGCGACAGCTACCCCGCGTTCCCATTCAAAGCGTTCTCGGCTGCGTACGTCGAAGAGTCGCTCGCCCGCCCCGTGGACTGGCGGGCCCGCGGCGCCGTGACGCCCTGCAAGAGCCAGGGAGCCCAGGGCGACTGCGGCGCGATCGCGGCGCCTGTGTCGCGCGTCGGTGGTTCACCGCCGCGCCGTCCGCAGGCACCTTCGGCCAGACGCAAGAGTGCGTCCGCGCGTCCGCGCGCGCGCCGGCACGCGGGGCCTTCGTAGGGCGGAGTCGCAGTACTTCCTCGGCGGCGGCGGGCGGAACCCGCGCAAGACGCCGCACGCGCTCGTCCAGTTCTCCGAGCAGCAGCTCATGAGCTCCAAGCGGCGTCCGGCGGCCGCGACGATGTTCCAACATCGTTCGGTAGGCTGCAAGGGCGAGCGCGAGGACGCGTTCTTCTTCTTCGAGGTCGGCATGGAGAGTACTGCGGATTACCCCTACAACGCGAGTGTCCGGCGTCCCGCGACGGGGGACCGCGCCCGGACGATCGCCGCAGGCGACGAGCTGGCCGACGAGCGAGCCGCCGCCGTGCCACTTCGACGCGTCGAAGGTCCCGCCCGGCGTCGGTGTGCCGATCTTCGAGACCGGGCGCGCAGGTCCTGCCCGCCTCGACGTTTTCCAACTGGACGACCGTCCCCGCGTCCGCCGGCGAGGACCAGCTCGCGGCCTTCGTGCGCCACAACGGCCCCGTGCAGATCGGCATCGACGCGGACGTCTTCAAGAACCTGGACGACGACCACCACATCACGCCCGACCGCTGCGGGAACTTCACGGCGATCGACCACAGCCTGGGCATCGTGGGCTACAACGCGACGGCGGACAAGGGCGCCTACTGGATCGTCAAGAACAGCTGGGGCGACGCGTGGGCGGACCACGGCTTCCTCTACGTCGCGCGCGGCGTCGGCTGCGGCAACATCTTCGGGAGCGGCGGCCACGTGTACACTTATGGCGACCCGTCCTTTTATTACGACGCGTAAAAAAACGCGGCTGCAGACGAGCTAACTAGAGCTTTAAGCAAAGACACGTCTTTGCGCAATATCGGCGACTGGCTCTTCGGGCCCATCCAGAAGGTGCCGCCGGGCGAGTACGACCTCGCGGCCGCGCAGCGGGGCTACGCGGCGCTCCTTGGCGACCTCGACGCCATGGCGGGCAGCGCCGCCGACGCCTTCGACGCCAAGGCCTACGGCCCGACGTCCCAGGGCTCGAGCGGCTTCGAGGCGTCGGCGTGCTACGGCCTCCCGACGCGGCTCGCGTCGAGCTCCATCTTCTTCAACAACTACGGCGTCCGCACGATGACGGACAAGGCCAAGGTCTTCTCCTGGTCCTGGGCCATGCCCGGCGACGTCGGCTGCAACTGCATCTGCGTCAACGGCAAGACGACGATGACCATCGCGTCCATGCACCACGGCATCGGCCGCGTCACCGCGATCCGCGACGTCGCCTGCGACGCGCTCCTCGAGCTCATCGGCGACGCGAGCGCGGTCTAGGGGGGGGGGGGCGTGGCCCGCGTGGCCCGGCTGTTTTTTCGAGTGCCATGTTGGCCTTCAAGGAGCTGCTCAAGTTGGCGAGCGTCGGGGGAGCAGTGGATAATGGACGGCGCTGTCATGCACCACCTGCGTTGCCGATCGGCGTGAGCTGCCACGAGCAGGCGCGCGCAAAAGTAAAGAATGACGTCCTTCGAGGACCCGCGCGTCATCCGCGTCGCCGAGTTCTACAGCGGCATCGGCGGCTGGCGCTGCGGCGCCGCGAGGGCGGCCTTCGACCTCTACGGCGCCGCGGCGCGCGTCGAGGTCGCCCTGGCCGTCGACGTCTCGACGACGTGCAACGCCACCTACGCCCACAACTTCGGCGACGCGCCCGTGCAGCGGCCCATCGAGGACCTCGACCCGTCGCGGCTCGAGGGCCTCGACGGCTGGCTGCTGTCGCCGCCGTGCCAGCCGCACACGCGGCAGCGGTGCCCCGGCGAGGCGGCCGTCGACGCCGCGGACCCGCGGTCGAAGTCCTTCCTCTGGCTCGCGGACCGCCTCGCGCGCTGCGAGGCGCCGCCGGCTTTCGTGTGCCTCGAGAACGTTGTGGGCTACGCGGGCTCCGCCTGCTGCGGCCGGTGGCACGGCGCGCTCCGCGAGTCGGGCTTCGCGGCGCCGCGGGCCTGGCACTGCTCCCCGACGATGGTCGGCGTGCCCCACGAGCGGCCGCGCTACTTCGAGTGCGCCGTCCGGCGGCCCGGCGGCGCGGCGCCGTGGCGCGACGGCGCCGCGGCGCCGGCGGACGGCTGGCCGGGCGGCGCGCCCGCGGCGCCGGAGCCGCGGCGCGTCGCGGACTTCCTCGAGGCCGGCGACGCGGCGCCCTGGCGCCTGCCGCCGGCGCTCCTCGCGCGCGACGCGGCCTGGTGCCTCGACGTCGTCGACGCCGAGTCGACGGCGCCGACGGCGTGCTTCACGCGGTCCTACGGGCGCTTCGCGCGCGGCACGGGCTCCGTGCTCAACGTCACGCCCGGCGCGCCGAGCCTCGCCGCCCTGGGCCTCGCGCGGGCCGACCCGGCGGCGCGCGTCTTCGGCGACGGGTGGAAGGCCAAGCTCGACCTCCGCTTCTTCGCGCCGAAGGAGATCGCGAACCTCCTCGGCTTCCCGGCGACCTTCGCGTTCCCGGCCGCCGTCGCCACCAAGGCCCGCTGGGCCGCCGTCGGCAACTCGCTCCACGTCGCCGCCGCCGCCGCCGTCGTCGCCGAGGCGCTCCGGGACCTCGGGTAAAAATGGTGTAAAGTTTGTCAGAAAAGTCGGTGGACCGAGCCCCCGTCGAGCCCGGAGGGCTGCACATAACCTGTCGTCTCTCGGATTGGGACCGGCCTTTACGCGTACGTCTTCCCGGCGGTCGCCGCGTCGAGGGCCGCGTGGGCGAACGCGTAGAGCGCCCCGTCCAGCGCGTGCCGCTCGCGGAGCCGCGCGACCGTCGCCGCGGGCAGCTCGTCGACGTGGATCGCGACGTGGTTGCTGTCGGTCCTCAGCCTGTCGCCGATCGTATTTTTCGAGTTCGGCGAGACGCGCGCCCGGGGCGCGCCGTCGTAGTTCGTGATCGCGGGCGCCGTCCAGCCCATGCGCGCCGCGAGGACGCGCAGAAGCTCGCCGTGGCGCTCGAGCGGCCCCACGAGGAACGTGCCCGCGCGCGCGGCGCGCTCGAGGACCTCGAGGTCGCCGCGCGTCGCCGCGTTGGCCGGGTCGGCCCAGTCCGGGTCGCAGTAGGCGCAGCCGTCGGGTCCGGGGAAGCGCGTGCGCCGGCCGGAGAGGAACGCCGTCTGCCAGTTGCGCCGCTCGTCGAGGAACGCGTGGCGCGTCGCCGCGGCGACGAACGTGGAATTCGGCGCGAGGGGCCGCGCCTCGCGCCGGAGCCCGTCGTGCAACTTCTGGTGAA